GGAGGAGTAGTAGTAGCAGCAGCAGGAGGAGTAGTAGTGGTAGCAGCAGCAGCAGGAGGAGTAGTAGTAGTAGCAGTAGTAGCAGTAGTAGTAGTATTCGTATCAGCAGCAGCAGCAGCAGCAGCAGCAGCAGTAGCAGTAGGATGAGCAGCAGCAGCGGCGGCGGCGGCAGCAGCAGCTAGTCAGTAGTTGGGTAGCGGTGGCGATGGCAGCGACGGTGGCGGCGGCGGTGGTAGAAGTAGTGGTGGTGCGGCTACGGCTACCACGGGAGCAGCTGCCGCTGTTTTGATTCAGAAGTGCCCAGAGGAGTGGAGTCCACGCTGGAGAGATCCGCCGCCGTGGCAAGCCCCAGACCTACGCCGGTGCCCAGAACCGCGATGAGGTGCGCCACGAGAACCGAAAAGCATCCACTGATGCCACCCACACTTTACAAAGCAAAGACTCTGAAAGCTGCGAGCGGATGAATGCGGCAGCTTGTGTCAGCATCCTCAACTTCAAGGGTCAGGTGGCATGTTGAAGCCAAGAGGCCACGTCTCATTTCAGGTGTTCAGCCAGCTCACGAGCCAAGACACCTATCCGGTCTACACTCCCGGTTGTGGCTATCTCCTGACACGAGATCTGTGCTGCTCGCCTGGAACTTCACTCCAACCCTCTCAGAGACTGAGTGTAGTTGCGTACTGCCAAGCCTGTCCAGGACTGTCCAAGCTAAGGCAACTACATAAGCCTGCTCTCTGAGGCAGGGAGGGCAAGAACGTGGTGTGTGGCGGTAGGCTCTCCCGTGCCGTCGCAGGACCAAGGCGGAAAGGACAAAAGCGGAAGCGGCATGCAGGAGCTTAGCATCTCAGCGCAGAACTCTGGAATCGCCTTCAGGGCTCTGGGATGTCCGGGCTCCGTGCAGGACTCTGCCCTGCCTGGGCTGACTGAGCTCCCACAAGAAGACGTGGCAGCCGCTGGGCTGCAAGCATACGACGGGCTTTCACAAGACCCCCTGCCTTGCCGTGCCATATCAGCTTTTCTCTTGCCGGCCTGCTAAGGAGAGGAGTCTTGCAGCGTCTTGTTTCCTGTAAGTCGATGTTTGCCGGCTTGCTGGTTGAGCTCTCGAGCTAAGACAACCCTCAGGAACCCCTTTCCTGAATCGCTGCGCTGTGGAACAGTCTAGCTTTACTGCTGGTGTTTTGACTTCAGCGTTTTCGCCGTGCTACTTCATGTGGCCTTGCTTTCGTTGGTGATGCCCCCGTCACATCGCGAACTTTTGCTCATTTCTCAAGCACGGCACAGCACCTCAATCGCCTATCCCTACATCTTCCGGATGCTTCGTGTATCCTACGTAGTGGTCCCAGTCAGTCCTAGTTGTTTTGTGGGTGTCTCGGCCTTGGGCGAGTTGTTGAGGTTGGATTTTGGCTCGAGGCAGGACCGAAGCGCGGCATCGTCTCAGACTCCGTCTGTCAGACAAGCTCGGTCGAACAGGCCGTGGAGCACCAGCGGCTGAGCATGCCTCTCTCCATTTTCGGTGATGCGTGCCGAGCCTTTGCAGAATTGTGGGTGGGCTGGTGCGGTGTCAACCTCTGGGCATGCTGTGACTTCCGGTGACCCGAGGGAAGTCGGATGGCGACTCGTATGTGCTGGATCATTATGTCTCGAAGGCGCTGCGGGGGCATGGAGGGCGAGCAGGTTGTATTCGTAGAAAGTTTGAGGCTTGCGGAGCACCTGAGACCCTGATTGTGAGCTGTGGAATCACCACCTCTGACTCTGCAAGGAGCAAATGCGTCAGAGATGGCGAAATCTGCAGCAGAGTGGGGATCCATGTCGTGAAGAGGCCTCAACAGGGCTTGGGAAGTGTTCACCAGCTTCGCCGCTGCTTGACTTGAGTACTTGGGATGCGAGGGTGCGCATAGGTCCCCTCACCGAGCGACTCTTAGCGTTTCTTCGCGTCGAGTGGAGTCCATTTGGCATGGCGCTGAGAGGCTGCTCTGTGAGCCGGCGGCCTCGGTTCCTTTCCGGAAACTCCGGTGCTTCTGCTTCGAAGCCAGCAAAAGCTCGCTCTTGCACTGGCTTCGCGAGATGAACTTTCATGGTTTCTCTACTCCTGCCGTCTTCGCGCATTAAGACGCAATCCAGGGCATTCAGCTGTGGAAATGGATATCGGAGAGCCATTGGCAGATTAGAGTGGACCCCGAAGCCCGAAACGCCCAAACGCTCCTTATCGCGGTCACGGCACCCAGAAAGCACTGGCGAGATCCGAGAAGACGCCCAGAAACTACGCTCTCTTCCGAAGAGACCGGCCCGGCCAGGTCTGGAAGATTTCAGCGGCTCCTCGACTGCATTCAGGGCTAGACAGCAATGGCGTTTTTCTGAAGGCACCTTTGGCGCCCGCAGCGCAGGACAATGACAATTTCGGCTTGGAGTTGGACCTCACTAATCCGCTGTTACTTGGCCTGGCTAATCGGGAACTGCCCGGCTTTCCATTTTTCAGGCTATTCTTAAGCTTGGAGGACGGAGCTTTGCATCTCTTGTCCTTAGTTGATGCAGGCTGCCTATCGTGGTGCGAGTGGTGCCAGACAGCCAAGCGGTGAGGCTGATGAGGTTTAGTGTTCTATCGCTGTGGGACTTGTGGAAGGCGTTGCGAGCTTGATGAATCACCGATGCCACTGTCACAGACTAGAGTCTAGATGCTGGTGGCTGTGCAGTAGGCTTCGGCATGAGTGATCCTCGAACTGTTCAGTCCCTGTCCAGCTCACTGCAAGTAACTGCAAGTAATTTCGCTCTGCTTCCCTGTCCTCAGCTGTGAAAGGTGGAACTTCCGCGCAGCACCTTGCAAGCCGCTTCGATTGACTTGCTCAAATCTTTTCACCGATTGCACAAAACATGTCAGACCTGCGGTGCCGCTAGTCCTGCTATCCGTTTTGACCATACAGTATCAGTATCCCAGCTGTAAGGCAACTGCTTCCTGGGCTGGGCCTCTACAAAGTGAACCAGGTGCATCAGGAGCGCGTTTTCAATGCCCACAAGGGATCACAAGGGAGAGGGAAGGTTTCTAAAGCATAACTTGTGCTGTTTCGAGCTGAGAGGATGTCGTGGCGAGATGCTGTGAAGAGGTGTTGGTTCTGTTGACTTGATCATCAGTACTTGGGCACTGGGACCAAAGGTGAAACCTGACACGCACGATGGATCGCCATCCTCGATTATGTCAAAGTCAACGGGTTTCGGGACTGCCAGGTGGCTTGTGGATGTATGCTTTCCATAGGTCATCATAGGTCTGGAAGTCGTAATCACAGACTTCGTGAACTTCGGCAGCACCTGTCGTACTGTGCTCTTGCTTGGGGCTCGCCACAGTTAGATTTCGAAACTGAAGACATTGGCATGAGATATTTTGTAGCTGCGCGAAGGCCGCTGACTCTCAAGACTTGCGTGTTTGGGTCGTGACCCGCACTCATGAGGATTCCCAGAAAATCCACAAAGAGCTCCTGCAGAGCAAAGGCAGCATCACGCTAGGCCATCTCCTTGAGATTGTTGAGTTAGGGCTTGGGGTGTTGCTGTCATGGGTCTCTGAATTGATCGTGGTCGCAAGAGTTGTTGGACGTGACTATTGAACAGACTTCGTGGATGGTAGGATCGTGGCGAAGTAGGAGTCTGCTTGTCCGGGTACTAACGGGCACATCAATCACTCAGTCGCACTAACAGCAGGGGACTTCCGAAAGCTACAGAGCTTGCTTCGGATTAGGTTTAGCAGTTCATCTTCGCAGAAATCTCGCTTTAAGCCCGTGTCTCGCATATTCAGGCAGAAAGTGTGCCTGCATTGCGTCGGACTAGCACTAAAACGAGACGGAAGGCTTCAAATGGCCATCGATGCAAAATGTGCCGCGGGCTCAGTGAAAATCACTTACCTGTGCTGCGTGGGATGTTCCTTTGGCATAGCAGCAAAGCCCCCATGGCCGGAAGCTACGCACGAAATCGACGGTCCCTCATAAGCCACAGCTTCAGAACGGTGGAGGACGCTGCCGCGCCCTCCGGGACTTCCCCTTGGCCTGCAGATGGTGCTTCCAGAACATGAGGCTTTGCCTTGGGGGATTCAGATGAGAGCACCGTTCGGTGCCTCAGCCGGAGCTGTCATGGGACCTGAAAGCCTGAAAGGCCGCTCAAGTCTGGTTGCTCTCGAAACCCCTCAATGGTGTCTTCGTTGCAAGTTTCATGAGTTTCAAGCGATTGTGCATAGGCCGCCGGTCTCTACCTGGATCGCGCGGAGGGCCTCAGCGCATCCGCTGGCTTGAGGGTACCTTGAAAGCACATAAGAGCCTCTGAAAGGCAGTGTGATTCAGCTTGGGAGAGCAAAGAGCTGGAGAGGTCGAGGTTTCAGGTGTATCAGTGCTATTCGCTTCAGCATGCTTGAGCTTTTGCACAAAGCACAGGCCGGTATGCATGTTCGAGCTGTGGATGGCCGGCGTGATAGTCCGGAAAGGATGAAGCAGGACTGCACTCTTACAAGAGCCTGTTACGGGGACCGCAGAGCGGCTCTCCGCGCAGGAGATTGAAGATGCATCGGCAATGCACGGGTCTGAGCGTCGTCTCCACTTGTACCGGATGTCGCAGCCATGTAGCGTCTCTGCCCTTTCCAAGGCTGACGCTCCGCGTGGCATCTTATGTATAGACTTGTCTCACCGCTCAGGCCAGGATAAGCGTGACGTCTGCCTTACGATAGCAAAGCAGCATCCCCTTCCGGGCCGTCTGCTGTCAGCTTGACAGCAAAATTGACCAGCGGCTTGCATTTTTTGAAGATATTCCCAGGCCTCACGCCACAAGAGTCGGGATCATAGCAGAGACAGACATGCTCAGAAATGCTATGGGGCTTGAGGCCTTTGGTTGCCTTCACCTAGCAGCCCGGCCAGGCCCTCTGAGGCGTAGGCAAGTCTTGGTCCACTTGCGGATTCGGATTTCAGTTTCAAGCTAATGTTCTGCATCTCGGCATCCGGAGCGCATGTGGAAGACCGCACAGTGTTCGGTCCTAGTTGTAATGGTTGCTCGGATGCCCGATGCCCGTGCCCCACTCTGACTGACGTCTCGAAAGCTGAGTTTCGTCTCCGGTTCAGCAAGCCGTTGAAAAGTGGAGTCTTTGCACATGCCTGTGCTAAGCGTTAAGATCTTCTTTGCCCCGTTCAGGGCTGCGGCACTCGCAAGCGTGAGTGGACGTGACGGCAACTTGGGGTCGGATCAATAAACGGCACCGTTCACTTGCAGAACTTCGGCTCATTTCTGTTTAGTTGCAGCCAGGTTGCTCAAGCCAGCTTGATGGCGAGAAGTCGCAATGAAACGTGAACTTGAAATTTCAGATGCAGAGTTGGATTTGGGGTCTGACTTTCGGCATGAGACAGAGCGGCCGAGAGAGGCCATGCCTTTTGACTGCGCTGCCTGGGAAGCGGTTCCCGTGAAAGGCGCTCCGAGCTGCCAAGACCTTGAGCTACTCCAAATAGCTTTGATGCTGTAGCCGACCTGAAACGGGATGTAGAAGCTTCACCTCCCATCTACTTCCAGTCTTCCAGAATATCTTCCAGTACATTCCAGTACCTGTCAGTACCTCAGACCGGAAGGTCTTGGCGATGCCTTCCCCCTCGGCTCCCTCGGCTCCTGGGCCCAGAACTGCGTGCTTGAGCGGAGCGGAGCGGAGCGTGCGCGCATCTGCGAGAACACTGTTGCATTTCCTTGCCAGGGCACGTTCTCGCAGTGTGAGGAGGCTGTTAGTCCCAATATGAAACCAAGGAAGCCTGAATCGGTTCGGTCGTCAGTCCTCCGTGGCGCATTGCCTTGCCGTGCTGAGTCGCAAAAGCGGCTGAAGAGCAGCCAAAGCAGCCGCAGCAACCAAAGCTTGCCACCGGCAGTGCCTTGGCAGTTTGGTGCTTTAGTACTTCACAGCTGGTCGGGGAACACGCAGCGTAGTATATAAGCGTTTTCGTTCTTTCGGGGCATTGTGTCGACGCACCAAGGAGTCCCGAGCGCAGACGCCCGCAAGCCTCTTTGCATCCAAGAGGCGGGCCTAATGTCGGTTTAATGAGTCCAGCACGGCAACACCTCCTTCCGCGCTCGTTCGCAGATTGGGAGACGGCTAGAAAACCGGGGCGAAGAGGAAGGGAAGGTCAACTGGAACAATGTGGGTAAACGTGGAAGAGCCCCTGGAATCAGACCAGCAAGAGTTCTGTGCTGTCCTCGGGCAGACGCCGTCAGTGTCTGCTCGCTCGCTGAATCATACAGCGACAGTTATCGCAAGGTCCCAGCAGAGCCGCTGAAGCGGAGTGCACTGGCAACAACAGACATGTATCGTGCACGACTCTGGCTGTTGTTTCTGTTTGTGCCACCGCAGCAGGAATGGCTTGGTCGTTGTTGCAATATGGCGAGATGATTGCGAGCCAGAGTCACCAGCGGCTTATCATCAGTGAGCTACGCATTCACATGGGCAGTCCTCGGCGCAGGCCGTCGCTCTCCGACACCGACAGTGACATACTGGGCCCTGGGCGGGTCAAGCCGGGAAGCCTGGATCTTCAACAGCGACCATAAGGACTGGCCAAGGCTAAGGCTAAGGAGTACTGATTCAGCTCTCCGCGTAAGGTTGCTGTGAAGTAGAGCACCTCGTGAAAACAGGTCTCCCTTGGCAGATTTGCGTCCTGTGGTTGTCGCACCGTCGTTGCCACCGATGGTTCCGCACGTCATCCCGCCTGGGTTATGAAGTCTGGCTCATTCCTCGCAGCCTTTGCCGTGGAGTTCCTGGTTCGCCAGGCGTGGGCGGGCGACCCTGACGACCCGCAGTTCAAGGCGCCAAGCTTCGAAACCATTGGCCGCTGGGATGCAAGTGAGGAGAAATGTAGGTTCACTCGGCCCGAAATCGTCGAGGTGAGGTCTTGGTAATTCGACCTCTGTGTCCGCAGCTTCATTCTTGGTGTTGTCTTTGCAAAGCCTGCTAGGCCTGAAGAAACCGTTAAGAAGCCTCGAAGTGTAATTGGAAGTCTTGGAAACTAGAAAACCGTTGCCACCCCCGGCATTTTGGAGCCCACGCTGCATCCTGATCTCGCAACCTCGTTCTAAGGCAAGCCGATTCGCTTGAAGTTCTGCAAGGAGATGTCCTGTTTGCAGCCATGGTTTCTGCATGCGCTCCCTCGTCCAGCTCAAGCCGCGGTGTGACATGTCCACATGTCCCGTTGTTGTGTTCGAGAGGCTGTCAGAGGGAATACTGCTACAACGTGATGAGTCTCGCATGAATAAAGCATGGCTAGAGTCATTTCTTGGTCATTTTGCGGCTTTGCCTTGTGTTTGATTAGTGCTGGTAGTAAGCAGATGATCGCGCTCTAGGCTGCATCAGACTACGAATCTGAAGCTGGTCTTGACTGACTCCAGCAAACTGTCGACATCAGCAGGTGACTTGCTCTCCTTCCAGTTGGAGCCGGAACTTCTAAGAAGCTTCTGGCCACCTTATGGCCCTTCGTCTCCTCTCCCTGTGTCGCTTTCTCTCTTGCTCTCTCCTCTGCCCTGACTTTTTCCTCTCGTGCCTCAGCCGACATTAGCCATGCACCACCTCTGCACGATGTTGCAAGAACGGAAAGAAAGCACGGTACATGGCAGGAGTGGTACGACAGTCTTTTTGGTGTTGCGGCCAAGAGCATCCCAGGCGGGGCTTTGGCAGGGCATCCTACATCGATTCGACTTCTGCCATTTGGGAGGGCTTCAGCCGGGAACCATGCAATTCCGTTGTGTTGCTTGCGGTGAGCATGAGACATGAGAAGTTATGGAAGCATGTAGTGTGAAAGGCATCCGTGTCTCGCGGAGAACGGCATGTTTCGCTGGCATGCAGATATAGGGGACCTTCCACCCGAGATTGCAGACCATCCTCACCCCTCTTCCGACTGGGCAGATATTCTGGATGCAAGCAACTGGCTTCCTGCCGATGCACCAGTTCGACTCAAACTTCCTAGCTGCCACCTCAGTTCAACGCTGGGTGGTCCCGGTAAAGGTTGGCCGGATCCAGTGCTGCAGAGGCAAGCTGAAGGAAAAGCTGGGCATACAGGACAGCTGCTGACTCGCCAGCGCCTCTCCACACAGTTCCGATGCTCGCACATGATCGCTCGAGATGTACTGGCAGCAGAGCGAGATTCTGAATTGACTCGCCTTGCAGGGGCATGTGGCTCATGAGGCCATCTTCTCCGATGGCTCCCAAGCTTTACCAGGAAGCTGCCCCATTTTGGCCTGCAGGAACCGGAGGTCCTTTCTTCGACGCCAGCATCCCGGCCCTCGACGGGCGCATCGACGGAGAGCTTGGAGCCTACTGGTAGGGCGCTGGCCTTCATGTCTTGCCGGGAAGGTGCAGTTCGGATTCTGCAGGGTCTCTTTGGACGCCGTCGTGGTTTTCACTAGTTACTTGTCTTTCGCAACCACACTATCACTATGCAGAGTTGGATCGCCCATCAGACAGTGGGGAGCGGACATGGCGCATGTGGCGGCAAAGTGCAGAGTCAGTTTCCTGTGGCGAGGTCACCGGAAAGGTCGAAAGCGCAGGCCGAGCGGATGGCAGGCGCAGGCGGTGAGGAACTCAGGCGTTAGCGGACGCAACAGCGACCCGCAAAGCTGCCCGCAGCGGGTCTGAGCGCAGGTCCCGGAAGCTCTCAAGGATGAGCGCCATTGGGCCGCGATCCGCCTCCAGTGACTCGACCCTGGAGTCTGGGATGAGGGGATCGCGGGGGCACTGGGCATCCGCCAACGTGTCTTTGGAGTTTTAACGTGCAGCGGGGCCACGTTGGGTTTTGGAAAAGCTACTGTAGATGCACGCTGATCCATGCTGGTCTCAGGCTCAAGGCAGACTTCAAATGAAGATCACACAATTGCCTAGAAAGATAAGCACAAGCACAACTTCACACAATTCAGTTCCGTTGCAGACTCCGACAGTCCGAGAGACCATAAACTGATCAGCTGTCGTCGCCGCGACATGGCGTCGTAAGTGCGCGGAAGTGGAAAAGCATGACGCACTGCTTCGAGGATCCTTGGCGCAGCTCTCATGTCGCAGACTTCCATGTGGTCGTTGGTGCAGACACCAGCATCGAGGACTCTGGAACTATCCGCGATGTCGACTTCGAGTCTGTGGAAGATCAGAAAATCGCCACGTTGAAGGAGATGGCCTGTGGTCATAGTAGGATACCCGAATCCGCAGCACAGACCTTCTGTGCCATGTCATTTCTAAGAGCCCGAAGTCTCCAGGAACGGATGGAAAGGACAAAGGACAGCGTGGACCGTTTTGCGAAGGTGGACAGACATTCATTTCGGTTCATGAGGGAAGATGGACCGATCCGAGCCGTCTTTGCGACACTTCACAGCCTAGCCGCCTAGCCTTGAATCATCGCACGGGTCGCAGCTAGGGATTAGCTGCAGCTGGGACCACACAAGCAGCAGCCTGAGCACAGCCGCAGAATGAACACCCGGTCCAGGTGCACTTCCGCTGGACGGTTGGAATCAAGTTCATCGGCCTGGTAGCTTTGGCGTCGCTGCTGGCCGTGGAGTGGTACTCTGAGGTTCGCTCAGAGGCCTCGCGTCTGGTTACCGAGCTCTCGTCTCTTGGCAAGGCCGGCTGCGAGTGTATCATCGAAGCAGTTGAAATGGCAAGACAGACTAAGAAGAAGCTAATCGAAGATTCTCATCCGCCCCATAACCCAACAGTGAGAGTGAGAGATTTTGAGACCTGGGAGGATGTTTTGCTGTATGACCTCGTCCTGACAATGTCCGCTCGAATGCTGGCTCTCACAGGCCGGAGCAGAGCTCGCGAACCGGGGGTCCGACTCGAAGTCCTAAACCCTTCCGGCTTTTAGGGCCCGGGCCCCGTCTTTGAAGGTGACTTGCGATGGAGAGACGAGTATTTTCTCAAGGTGGAGCCCTTGGAGGCCAGGAAGCCGCAGGATTACTATTTGAGTCATCAGCACTCAGACCAAACATCGAGCTATGGATGCTTGTAGATGATGTAAGTTCGTTTTCGTGTTGCATTGAAGCCGAGTGTGCCTGTTCAGACATGATATGTGTTGGTCCATCTCCGACCGTGTGCTCATCTAGTGCAGGGGCGGGATACTAAGTTCCGGCTCAACTCTATTCATGGACAAATCGTGATACTGACTCGAGCCTTCCACAGTTTAATGCTACAGCCTGTCCGAGCATGACCATTCTCGTCTTCGGCAGCAGCCGTCGTCAAGCTTTGCTTGTGGCTGGCTTTAGTGACCGAAAGCCGCATCTCACCCGAGTGCCAAGTGAGGCATGCCAAAGCATATGTGCTCACTTGTACCAAACTCGGGTCTACAGGGTGGGCTCATTGAGTGGGAACCTATTTTTTCATGTTTTCGTTTGACTCTCTTTTTTTGTCCGATGGGGGGGGAGGAAGGAAGGGAGGGAGGCAGGGAGGAAGGAAGTCTTGTAAAAGGTTCCCTTGTGCTGAATCTCCGACCCATGCACGGAGATTCCCGTAAAATACAGTGAACAAGTGTACAATCTTCGGTCCAGATGCCTTAGCCCAAATGTGAGCCCCCCTCCACCCCGCAAAAAAAGGGGGTTAACCCCTTTCAAAAGAATGGGCCCAAACAACAACTCCACCCTCCTTCCCGCGTGAAACCTGGTGGTGGCGGTGGCGTCGGTGGCAGTAGCGGTAGCAGCAGCAGCAGTAGTAGCAGTAGCAGCAGCAGCAGCAGCAGCAGCAGCAGCAGCAGCGGCAGCGACAGTAGTTATCGCAGTGGTGGTAGCAGTAGTAGTAGCAGTCGTCGTCGTCGTAGTAGTGGTGGTGGTGGTGGTAGTAGTAGTATTATTATTAGTAGGTGGCGGTAGTAGTAGTAGTAGTAGTAGTAGTAGGAGGAGCAGCAGCAGCAGCAGCAGCAGCAGCAGCAGGTGCGAGGGGGGTCTTGGGTTGCCCACCCATTCCGGCCAATAGAATAAAGCCCGCGAGGCCTGAAGCGAATCTTCCGCAACAGACCCGACATGTTAAGAACTCCTTGCCGAATATTCAAGAGCGGGACTTCCAAGCTCGGAGACGACCCTAAAGCCTGCCGTCCTCCCCAGGTGGTCCTGGCTGACATCGCGCGCAAAGCACCTGACATTGCCAGCGAGCACCTTGATTGAGACTTAGACTGTGAAAGTGACACGCAGGACATGTACCAGGTGCCGTTTGCGCTCGGGGCCTGCCAGGTTCGACAAAAGGACCGTCGTGGCAAACGACAAGTTGCTGGCATTGGAGGACGGGCCATCGGCCGAAACATGTCAACCGATGACAATCGATAAGATAGGCCCTGCAGCCCCAAGCTCTTGAATTCTGGCGACATGGACTATGAAGAACGAACCCAGCAGAGGCTGATACTTCCATCATTGCTGCTGGAGTATTCGTGTTAGACTCGAACTGCATACTGGTGTACGTGCTGCTGCTGTAGCTGCTGCTGCAAGCCAGATCACCACCCCCAGCTGCCCTTTGCATACTGAGCTGAGACGAATGTGTGGTGAGTTTGCTTTTGTCGCGCCCGCTTCGGTTGCATGTGTTGACAATGTATTGGCGCATCATGCCTTTCTGTTGTCTACATCGCTCATGGAAGCACCCTTTTGTCAGCCGACCCGGGGACCCGCTTGTTGCTTTTGCTTCTGCGGCCAGGGCGAGGCCATCGAATTATCCACATATAACGTTACCTTGGCCACCAGCGTTCTCTTCAGCGACGAGTACGAGTCCAACAAGGCCCTCAAATTCCCCTGCTTTCGACCGCGAGCGAGTGAACGTGGATAGCAAAATTCGAAGCCAGGAAGTGCAGCGAAGAGTCCTTTTCATCAGGCGCTCCTGCTTGAGGGCCTCACTGTGCTGGACGGCATGATCCAAGACGTGCGTTCTTGGGCTGCAGCTCCCGACTTGCGACTTTCAGATCCCGCACATGGATCCTGCGGTCCGTGCAACTGCAAGGGAGAAAGCATTTCTCGGATCTTGGAGATTCGGAGATCTGAGGCAAGCGTCACCGGGAAACGCAATCGTGGTGGGGCATTTTGAGCCCGTGTCCTGCCTCAGAAACGGGCTTTTGATTTTGTTCGCATGCGTGATAGTTGTAGCTAGAAGGAGCACGCGGTTCATGGAAGCATTGGCGCCTTCAGACGCTGGCGTATGCCTAAGCACCTGCTGCGAAGTGTGAACGAATCAATCTCAGGTCCCTTGTGTTGCTCGCTTTTTTCGGCGAATGCGCCATGACCGTCGCGGTCGAACGGCTGGACCGACGGCTGGAGAGATATTGGAAAGAAGCAGATCACGCACACTCAGCGTGCCCCGGGGAAGTTTTGTCGATGCCTAAAGCCTTGGCCAACGCCCTTTGAGGCACTCTGCAAAGGGAGGTCACTGGCCACAGCTGCGAGGTACAGCCACGAAGCGCGCAAGCGCTTCGTCAAAAAAGCAGAGGATACGATCATTAGCATACAGGGGAAGATCCCCAAGCGTTTTTTGAGGCGGGCACAGATTCTTTCGGGGTTGCTCTGTGGAGACAGCCTTGGACTTGTATATGTTTGCCGCGAGTATCGCTAGTACCTTGATGACTAATGACCTGACTGAGCATGCCCCTTGGAGGCCGTTGCAGCTGCAAGCTGAGAATGACGACGCCCCACCATCTCCGCAGTTATTGCGCAGGAGGTGCCGTGTGGTTGTAGTGGAAGCCTTGCTTGTTTCTGGCTTTGGGGTAGGGTTGCTTGCGAAGTGAGCCTCCAAAAATTGCAAAACCAGTAGCCATTTGTTGTTCGTTCTAGCCGATTCTAGACGTTTTTAGGTAGACCTGGTGCAGCTGTGGCTTTGCTTTCTCGTTAAGACTAACAGGGCTGAGCACACAAGTCGACAAGCAGTTCTTTCGTTACTCCTGTCCGGAACACGAGATTCTTCTGCGGCTTGGCGGACCGTGTTCACCATGGAAGGAGACAACAGCTGACACCCAGCTCATAATTCTCTCATCTTTCATCGATCGTCACACAGGTTTGCAGCCGAAATCGCGCGTTTGTGCCACCTGCACGCTTGGATGAGTGACGTCGCGAAGAGCATCGGGACCGTGGGGCGCGATGGTGGACTTGGCATGAGCAGAAATGTATTGGCTGCTCTGAAGCCAAGCCAAGAAGAGGCAACTCGAAGCGGGGAGAATCCGAGGGCTGCGCGCACTCTTCTCGGAAACGGCTGGTTGTGGAAATGCGCAAATCAAAATGACACATCTTGCGAGACAAAGCAATGGGGAGTTATCTGAAGTCTTTTTCCGCGCTGGAGGCTTTTCTACTTGGCGATGTCTGCCGAAGTCTTTGCTCTTGCAGGCCGGAATATGAGAGAGAGACCCTTCACATCGGTGCCTGCATCGAGCCAGACCAACGAAGGGATGCGGGAGGTAATACGGTAATGCGCATTGGTGGCTTGCAGCGTTGTGCACAAACCATCAGCAAGTGTCCAGCCATGTCGGATCTTGATCTGAAGCCAGCACATTGCTTTTCCCTGTTGCCAGGCTTTGCTATACCAGCTGTGCTGACCTTGGTCGTGGCTGGGATGCAAGGTTCGCACTCGCATAAAGGTGTCGAGCTGGGCCTTGGCCTGGCTGCGATCTTTTTTTGCATAGCAACAAGTCCAGGGTTTCAGGGACTCACGGGTTGCTGATTTCTGAGTCTGTAAAATTATGTCTCGAGGCTTTGCTTGAAGAGCTGCCCTCGACTCAAGTCTCAGCTGTGGGCTCAAGTGGCGTCCACTCGCAGAGCTGAGCACGGCGGGGATCTGCTTTTTTCTTTCCGGGTCCCAGACTTCAAGGTATCTGGAGTAGAGTGTTCTGCTTGCTGAGCACAGTTGGCCCAAGGCTCTGTACAAGGCAGAGGGCACGGATCCACTGCAGCAGCTGATCGTCCACGCGAAAGACACGGCAGCTTTGGCTCTGCCGGCGTTTTTTTGTTTTTCGTAAATTTGCCTCGCCCCCTTTCCTGCTTGGACCCGACTCCATCACTTACACACAAGCGGTCATCGTCGGCTTCTGGGCACGGCATGTATGTCATGATCCGAACTGACTGTTTTGATACCCTTGCTGTTGCTTTCATGTACATGCTGTGCATGGGAGTGAGAGGGCTCAATGCCTTCGCGTGTTGAGATACCGTCGTGTCTTCCAGTGCTTTTGCACTAAGTACTCGTGCCGGTTCTGCATGAGGAGTCGTTCTTGTGACTGGCTAAGCGCCAGGCCGTGTGCTGAAGCTAGATTCAAGTTTACCACAACGGTTTGGAAAAGGGCTTTGCTGGGCAAGGTGCAGCTGCAATCTGCGTATGCTGCCAGTGGCCTGAAGGTTCTTGACTGCCCGAAATGTCCGCTACCCTGTCCCAAACCCGGGTAGACTACGTGTCTTTGATGCTTTGAAGCCATGCTTTGGAGCTTCTTCGAGATGTTGATTACGCCAAGCTCCAAGGAGTTCTATGATGTGGCCTTGACCTCCAGTGCCCGACTCTGCGTGCTGTCGGACGATACGCGCTGGGCGAGGGACACTTTCTCGTGGTTTTGGGGCTTTAGAATGCGATTCCCTTGTCCCTGCAAAAGCGCTCATTACACCCTGCCCGTGATGCTCAGAAGAACCTTTGCGTTGCTCCTTGTGCATTGGCCTCCCTCACTTCGGATTTGCAGCTAAACGAATCTCTGTTGGTGCCCTCGGGTTTAGGATGCCGGAGCTTCTGCTCACTCCCAGGAGTACGATGGCTTCGTTGCCCCCATCGACACAGCCCTTGCAGGCCTGCAAGAGGCATCGGTGCAACTTTCTACACAGTTTTGTTCCTTAAACCCTAAACCCTAAACCCCTAATTCAAAGATGCCCCGGGATTAGAGCTTCCAGGTCGCTCCCGATGTGGCAGCCGATTTCGCCAAGTCGACGTCGGCTGCGAATGACGCGCTCATCGAAGCTTTGAGATGACCTGAGAGCCTTTTGAAGTTTTAGTTTTAACAGGAAAATTCAGAAGGCCAGATGACTCGAAGGGTGCCAAAGTCGAGCCGTGACCTGCCAAAGTGCCGATGCAGGAGGACTCGCTCTCCCAAGGGGCCCTTGTGTGCTAAGCTTGCGATGTAAGGACATGGAGGCAGCAGCTCTGGAAGCTTGTGGCTCTGATTCACAACTTGGCCGCAGCATCTTGCGACTCTGCAGAAAGTTCGAGCAGCTCGTAGGTCGGTGTTTGCGGAGCCCCGGCACGCTCAGAACTGAAGTGATTGGCATCTGAGGTTCAGTCCAGCCTATGAGGGCAACAAGACGCTGCTTCTTGATGGGATCCGCTCAGTCACCGCGGCTGCTGACGAGCAGCGCCAAATCTTTGAGGACGAAGAGGAGCAGCACCACACTATCAGCCGTAATCGGGCAGCACACGAAAGGTTGTGGTCTGGTGTTCCCAAAAAGGTCCAGGATGAGAAGAGTGTCTGCTGTCGAGCCAAAGCTTCTCCCAGTGCCACAAAGGCATCCTCTTGATTGTGAGCACCTTCCTCATCGTGGCCGCGGACCTCTGCACAGTTGCACCTTGATGTCTGAACTGGGGGCCTGGGGGCGGCTGGGATCACGTCACGTGGGTTCCGGCCGAGGTGATTGCAGCCTGGATGGAAGCTCTTTCTGTGGCCGATGATGCTTGGTCTTTCCAAAGTTTTTGAATCCATGATGGCGAAGCATGCTCTGCATCCATTTGGGACCCTCATGTTTGGATCCGGGCTGGTCTGCCGTCCCTTGCTGCTGCGAATGGCTTCCTGTGAAGATAGCTGGTCTGATGCCTTGATCACGTTGCCGAGGGGTGGTTCGCAACATCACGGTAACTTGTGTTCTCCAATATAGAACCCCGCTGTGCTGGACTTCTTGGGCGAGTGCGAGTCCAGGTTGAGAGTTCGAATACCTGCCCCACATTTGAAGGAACGAAAAGCTGTATCAGCCTTCTCCTTACTAATGCGGAAGGTTGTGTGCATGTCTTGATCATTCTGCGTGCTGTGCTGTCACGGGAGGCTAAATTACCTGGTGGCTTTCACGTGAGAAGAGGGGCCCGTGACACTGTCACAGGCCCCCCTTCTGCGTGAAAGCCACCAGGGAAGCATGTCTTGATCATTCTGAGTGCTGTGCTGTCACGGGAGGCTAAATTACCTGGTGGCTTTCACGTGAGAAGAGGGGCCCGTGACACTGTCACAGGCCCCCCTTCTGCGTGAAAGCCACCAGGGAAGTTAGCCTCTGCTGGCTGGCTCCTTGCCACGGTGGGGGGATTAACCCGGAGAGCATTCGATATCATTGTCTTCGCTACTTCTGCGATCATCTCTTCTGTTTTCAACCTTCAGATTTGTACAAGCCGCCTTCACAGGCATCTTGCGACGTACATCAAATCCTTCACAACGGCGGGTCCGCAGCAGTACCTGCACTGTAGCCACTACTGGTAGCTGTCGCGCCGAAAGGACGGGGACGATGGCAAAGATTCAGCGGCCGAGCAGCGATTTGTGCTCGGCTCCTTGGCGAGGTCTCAGGTCTTCTCAGAACTACTTCGGGTTCCCTTGCAAAGCTTCTTGCCGCATAGCTATGGAGTTTTGCTGTTTTCGATTTCAAATTGCTCTCAGGTCTGTTGGACCTGGTCAAGATGACCTTGAGCTCAGACGAGAAAAAACTTACACGGGCCGTTGCTGACCAGGATTCATTTGCAGAAGACTGCACCGACATCTTACCTGACGAATCCGGTGGTGGGGCATTGACGCACCAATCCTTGATAGAGAGATGGTGTGACGGGCCCACTGAAGTCACCACCCGGGTTTCTTGGGCTTAGAATTCGAGTTATATAGCGGGTCTGTTGACTGCGACGGTCCGACTCGGTGGATTTCCCTTTGCCCGGCTTTCACGGACAGCTGCAACTTTAGGGCTTCCCAGGGTCATCGGCTTGTGAGCCCAAGGGCATGCGTTGAAATCCGTTTCTACGGACCTCTCGGTCTGTTTCGAAGCTTATGCTAAAGCGCTGTAGATGTGCTTCGCATATTGTTGTGTGTTTGCTGCCTTGCAGGGTGCGCGCCAAGCCTCGGCCACCGAAGGTGGCACTTTCCGCACTTTTCGGGTTCAAAACCCGGTGCAGCTCACGATGGGCATTGTGTTGCTGCGCACGACCAGCAAGGACAGCGTAGTCTTTAAGGCACCTGAAGGGTGCCACGGGCCTTTTTCGGTATGCCTCCAACTTGCTATCAGGGTATCTGGCTCCGAAAAGCCTCACCTGAAATGTAACATCACTGGCACTGGTAGCAGGAGGAGGAGGAGGAGGCAGCGCAGCAGGAAGAGTACGAGTAGGAGTGGAAGTCCTGGTCCTATCCTTCCGGTCTTCCTCGTCCTCTTACTCTCCTCGTCGTGGTCGTGGCTGAGGTAGTGGCAGTAGTGGCAGAGCCGACGAGCGACTCCTGCTGTTGTTGCTGCTTCTACTGCAACTACGCAGTTACAGGCAGCTATGCAACTGTAACACAACTACGCCTACACTCTACAGCGACAACTAGACCTGCACAAATACAACTACATAGTTATGCAGATACACAACTTGGCAACAACTGCAGACAGCAAACCTTAACAACAGCTACGACGGCAACAGCAACAGCAACAGCAACAGCAACATCAAAACCGCCGCCGCCACCGCCAGCCACCGCCACCGCCACCGCCACCGCCCCAC